AGCAATGGGTGAAGGCCACGTGTGTGGCTGACATACCACGCATGAATGGGGGGGGGGGGTCTGGGGAGTATGCCCCCTGGCTCCCCCAGAAAATTTTTTTGAAATTTGAAGCATGGAAATGCCATTTCCTGCATTCTGAGCATCCAAATTTACTCCAAAATTTATGCTAACTATACTTGTATTTGAAATAAAAGAAGGAAAAATGCACAAAAAGTGAAAAAAAATATAAACCGCAATTTATCATTACTTATTAGTGGGGGATAGCAATGGCTAGCATGATAAATTAAAGTCCTTTTATACCTAGCAAGCCTGGACATACTGCTATGTGCAATCTTATTGATTATAACCTGATTGGTCATGTGATTGTCTGATTGATAACTATGGAATTCTAATCACTAACTATACAAAGTCTACAGATATCTAAACTGTGGCTAGTATTATAAATGTTATATCTTTCGAATCAGCAAATCAATTGGGAGGGCTGAAGTGCCGCTGCCGTTGGAGGAAATTCGGCGAATCCAACTTCTTCTGATGCAATATCAAGTTTCAAAATCATAATTCATAAATACTTATGACAACTGCGGATTACGAGAGATACAATCGAGTTTCTGCTTGTTTATTTCAGGTAGTAATATAACCACTCAGCACAGCATTTTCTCTACCTAATTGCCTTTTGGAATATTTTTCTGTGGTTTTACCAATAGTCAAAACTCAAACGAATACCTAATTATATCCCTCCCCCTGCGACCAATATGGCAATAATGTTTATTCAGGAAGTCCCACTCACAACCAGCGAAGTGTTTCTCAGGGAGGTACTGCAAAACACTTCCGTGAGTGGAACTTCAGAAGTGTTTTGTTTTGGTCATTCTTGGAGTACATTCTGACATTAATTCTCAATTTTTATTTATAATTAACTTGCCCATGTTGTTTATTTAAATCTCGATTGAAATTTTGTGTTCGAAGTGTTTAAATATTCAAATATTTAAATAAATGACGTAGACATAGTGAAGCTATATATTTTTGTCTTCAAAAGCAGTTTTATGCAGAAGACAAAGATGAACGATTCACAGTTCTCACAGGTATATTAAATGAGAACGAGAATTGATGAGGGGTGAGAAGCGAGAGTTTACATGAGAATTTTCTCATGCCTCGGTCAAACAGAACAAGAGTTGCATTAGAACTGACTGGATATTACTGCCGATTGCATAGCAAATACTACCGTAGCTCGTCAAAATTTGAACCAGTTCAAAGTTGATCGGAGTAGATGAGAATTGTAAACAACGAATGAATTTTCGTTTCTTATACAATTTAGCCTTGTATTAATTAGGCAGTGCCATGCATACAATAAAACATTTTTATTACCTATAATTCGGCCTCTTTAATACTGTTTAAAACATGCCATTGGCAATTGCTTGAATTTGGGTCACGAGAGAGGGTCGATCGGCCCTGTCTCGTGACCTAAATTCAAGCCGTTGCGAAGCAGAATTTCTACTGACCTTCCAAGCAAACCAAGGCCAACAGCATTGGCACGGCTTTTCACTTTTCTTGGATCCCGCGGGATGATCAGGCTGAGCGAGCGACATTTTCAGCAACAAAACTAGTGCTTTGCAATATGTATGCACAACCTTTCCGGTCAAATTGAAATGGTAAAATCAATGTTTACGCAATATAATACTTTTCACGTGAGTACACGACCGGAAGATTAATTATTTGTGTTTCCTAATACAAAATGCCTGGTGGAACTCACAGAAAAATCATTTCCAAGAAACCGCGGTGACCATGCGACCTTCCTGGAAGTTTATATAGATCTGGAGTGAGTGGGATTCGGCGAAATATTACGGGATGTGTAACCTGAGTATCAGGCCCTTATGTTTTCATTCGCCAGGATTAATTGGCGGCGGCGAATGAAGGGGGTAATAAGTAATATCGAAGTAATATCGCTGAGAGTAGGAACCCTCGAGCCGAGGCCGTAGTACAAAACATGGACTGGACTTGTAGAATCATGGACTCATGGACTCAAAATTTTCGTGAAAAACGCAAAACTGGACTAAAAGAACCTTTGTGTACAAAGTAGACTTCCCAAGTGTTACGCACTTTGTATAGGCAATCGCATGGGGCCGAGTAAAATTAAGGTTTAATTTCACGCTTGTTTTCAAAGTTTCACAAACGGCGCGTAATGTATTCGTAAGGTAAATTATGATCGAACTTGTCAAGTTCTTGCACCTCGTATGTCTCCATGTCTTCGCCGATCTTCCTTAATGCTGCCCATTTCTTAAATACTCCAACCCATAAATTTGTACTTTTTCCAGTGGTCGAGTTTTCAGAGAGAATATAGAGATTTATATAGAGAATAATACATTGGTGCGCGGAAATACCAGATTTATTTCGAGTGTTGAACATGATATCTCACGAGTGAGCGCAGCGAACGAGTGAGATTTCATGTTCACCACGAGAAATAAATCTGGTATTTCCAAGCACCCATGTATTTTTCTGTTTATTATATAAAGGACAGTCTTTGAAAAGCGATAATTTTTACAGAAAAGCGATAAATGAAAAGCGATAATTTTCACATGTGAGATTATCATAAATAATCTCACATGTGCATGAGATTATCACTTTTATCAGTGCTCGAAATCTCTATAAAGCCTATACTTTATATAAATAGAAACACGAGAAATAAATCTGGTAAGCATCCATGTATTTTTCTGTTTATCATATAAACAAAATTCAGTGAAAAACAATAAAACGTCCGTGGCAATGCGTTTTACAACAAATGATATTTTCACACGTAAAATATCGTATTTTTACGTGTGTTTAAATACGATTTTTCTCAGTGGCGAGAAACATGTGAGACATCAAAAACTCTATATAACACTAATGTTTATATAATAAATAAGTTTTTAATTCTAATTCAATATTTAATACATCATTGAGTGTATCTAAAAGCAGGGGCGGATCCAGGATTTTTCGTACGTTAGTCAAAGTTTTCGGATGTACAATCTAGTTTTGCGGGCGGCGAATGCGCGAGGCACCTAGGGGGGTCTGTCCCCCAGAAATTTTTATATTTTTAAACCTCCGAAACGCAATTTGCATCACTCTGTTAGCAGCTTCAACAAAAAATTAACTTCATGAAATGGGAGATAATTAATATAGCAACTATCAGTCTGACTCACTCTCACAACTCGCTCCTTAGGGAAAAGTAAAAGAGAAGTACTTGCAGAAATGTGATAATTGTGGAAGATGTTTCATTTTATCAAATTACGGATTGCTAGTATTATGTTTAACTATCTCATGATAGTACTACACTCATTTTTGTTGCCTAATAGCCTTGTTGAGTCATTGATCACTTGACTAACAAATCACTACAGTGTCATATTACTCAAATAAACATATCAATATTAAAGTCTTAACATTCAGCTATAAAACCTGACTTTTATATCCTATGTACACTGCATTAATGCATTTATATAGGTTATCCTCCATATTAATAGCCTTCTGAGTTCTGACGGACCTTCAACCGCAGAATTACAAATATGCAAATTTGTTGTGTAAATCAAAATTCATAGCTAAATCTAAATCAAGATACGCGTATTCAAGTTACAATTTTACATATGCATGGCGCGCATCTTGTTCGCTTATAAATATTGTTATGCTGTCTAAAACGAAATAGAATTTACATATCATGATCACATTAAATTTACCTTATTGCACTTCAGAATAAAGATCTCGGCGCCAATACTTCTACTCAAACAGTCAAACTGTAGTTCGTGCTATTCGTGGCGCTTACGCCGCTTAGCAACTGCTCACTGAATGGAACTCTCCGATATTTAGCGTTGATTTTCCTCCCAAGATCAGCGCAACAGTCTTGTAAGACAGCTAAATCATTCACCGCAAATGCGGATTGAACCGTTTCGTGAATACTACAAGGACTGGAGTCTGGAGCAGCAGACATTTCCGAATTTTCCGTAGATATCTTTAAATTGAATCTTTCGACAAAGCTACAACATGACACTTCGAATGAGCGCGCGCTCGGAAAGACTTTACCACGCGTCAAATATTAATGATATTCCGACTAATGGAGCGCCCCTGACTTTTGTAAATCGGTCAGAACTCCCCACAGATCAGTCAAAATCGCAAAAAATCGCTTGTTACCATGGCAATAAGCGTTTAGACCAATCAAAACACTGGATTTTGACTTTTTGACTGACCGACTTTGCGTATGTCAGCTGCTCATTGACTTGACTAAGCTCGTCGGCTCAACCACTGTATGTAATTTGATCACTGGACTACAGTTCGATTGGAATGTTAATTGTTAGCGCTGCATGATAATAGATACTGGACTATTATAAGGTGTCGCTGCATGATAAAAAATAACTGGACTATTGGTCGAATATTTAAGACTTTAATTAAGTTTGCAATTTGACGACCCCTAGATCCGCCCCTGCAGTCTACATACATGTATTTTCTAGTACTGGAAGCAAATTGAACCAAATCGTTTAGGCACTAAAAAATTAAAATGCATTCATGCATACTTCTGCGAGTAGCTGAATCTACCCTAGTCCAATAGACCTAAATTAATAACTCAGTAAAATAAGTCAGGAATGTCTTGTCTGGAAAGCAACCAGAAGACGATTGGAAAAAAGCATAACATTATAGTATTCATACAGCTATACCACTTAACCTGCAGGGTAATTTGCTTCGGCAATCTGATTATTGAAAATGGCTAGGTATATTGAGAACGTTCTGACTTGCATCGGGAAGAAATGCCCCATCATATTTACGGAGGCAAAATAGTTCAAATACAGCGAGTTTCAAGTAGAATCGACTTTCGACACCAGATGTATAAGCGCCGAAAATCGAAATAGCATGTAGAGTTTAGAGGTAAAACATACCTCGACGTTTTTAGTAAGCTTGCAAACATCTGAATAGCCTTGAGTGTGGAAACAGTATTGCTCACAACAAATCGCTAGAAATTTTGTATTCGTGTAACCCTGGGTATGAATCCTATACCGATTTACCGCCTGAAAGCTACTACTGTCCGATAGCAGGCTAACTACCACCTGTTAGCAGGTTAACTACTGTTGATACCTGGTAACGGGCTAGCCAGGGTCGTAGAGAGGGGGTATTGTGGGGAAGGGGGGGTGGTTACCCCAACTTTTTTAGAATTAACATATTCGGAAAATCAGGTTGGCCATTCGGAAAATTACGGCAATAATAGTATAACAAAATTTTAGTTGTTAAAAAGTGCCCCGCATGGGACTTGGAGTCCCGTTCGCACTTTTCCCAATTGGATTCTTTTGTTGTTGTTTTTTTTTAAAATTAGTGTATCTTTGCCCAATTATTTGTTAGTATAATTATTGTAAATATAGTTGTTAATGACCCAATAAAGTTCTTTAAAAAAACTAAAAAGAAAACACAAAAAGCGGAGAAAATATAATATAATGTAATTGTATTGTTAGTATAAACTGTTTACTAAATCATGGCATTTACATGGATAACATTTTAACAAATCGTAAATCGGTAAGTGTTTTTCGGTTTATTACTTCTCAGGACCGTAGCAACCAGGGGGGGGGGGGGGG